AAAAAAAAAAAAAGATGACTAAAACAGGTACCAGTTATCATTTTTTGTACAGGTACAATGCAAATGTGATTGAAGGCCACAAAGAAAACTGGATGACCTTAACCTCTCATCAATATTAACAGCTGTACTTTTAAAGGATAGACAAGGTGCTGTGTACTGAGTGGGAAGTCAGGTGTTAAATCTTTGGGCCCTAAAGAATTCTTCCCCTAGCTATAAGAGACAACACGTGGTAGCTCATCATTTTTTAAAAAATAGTTTCCTGAACCTACAACTAAATTTTCATTTTCATAATAAAAATTGTTTCTCTCTGAGAATTTTATGCAAAATTCTAAAGACACCCTATACATTTCTCTCGTTCATATGCTCCATCTTTCTGTCCCCCTACTTCACTCTCTCTCCTTGCAGTAGAATTTTTATTTTGAATTTTGTTAAAGCATGTATGTGATTTGTAGAATAGAGACTAAGGAGAGAAAGAGCGCTCCCAAGAGTGCATGTTTTAGTAATTGGGCTTGAGATACGAAGGAATGCAGGTACAAGATGGTTCCAACATCAGGGCTTGAACATGGTTCCTACCATCCCTATACCGCGATTGAATAATCAGTGATTTACTTTTCATTGATCATTTGCCATTTCAAGTTCAAAACTAAAGGTGAGAGAAAATTCCTCCATCTTGTCGGTCATGCTGGGCTTGGACATGTGCATTTTCCCCGAGAGAGGCATGCAGCAGGTGTGAGAGCCTGGGGCTATTGCTGTCGGCAGTTGATTACTCTCTGTGTAATTTGAAAAGCTCTCTATTCCCACAGCTTTATGTAATATATCAACAGTAATAGATTCATAATCATTATTCAGCCTACTGGAGGTTTGGCCACTGTGACAGGTGTCTTCTCAATTTCATGTTGTGGGCTCTCGGTTCTTTCCCCTTCCCTCTGGAAAATATCTTATAGAAAAATCAAACCTTAATGTAGCTGCTAGAATATTTGCTTCCAGTGGTGACACTGGTTGTCAATCTGTAATTCCAAATGAGTAGTTAACTAACCATAATGAAACAAATACACGAGCACCATGGTAGCTTATTTTATTCATGGTAGCTTATTTTATTCTCACTCAATATTATGGCAAAGATTACTAGATGGTGTGCAGTTAAAATCTAGACTGTGCTTTGTTTTGAATATTTGGGATGTTCTATTTTTTTTTTCCGGAGAGGTTATATACATAAAGGCATTATTTTGTCTTAGAGTCTTAGAAATTATACCTTACAACTTTTTTTTTTGGTGGGAGGGTCATAGATTTTGGTCTGGATAGTAATTACAACATAATCCATTAGGCCCAACAATAACCCCAAGGCAGAAAACATTGAATCCCCATACTACCTACAATGACTCCTATAAGGGAAAGTCCAAAAATACTCCGCACTTCGTGTTTTTAATCTCTCATCCCATGAATTCTGGCAGTCAGAAAGGAAATAACTATTTCCTGTGTTGATTGTTTAGTTTCTTAAGAAAATCTTCAGTGTAAGACACATATGGATTTATTAATACTAACTCAGCTTTAAAATTACCTTTGAGATATTTCCTTTGCCATTAGGATTCCTTTATATTTGATTTTTAAGTATTGAACATGAAGCTTATTTCATCTATTTGCTGCCACTGCTTTGTTTTCTTTGTATCTTTAATATATTCTACTAATTACTTCTTTTAAATAATTCTGAGAATATTAGAAGCCTGCATGGAAAATAATGAGTTATACATCACACATACACACACACACACACACACACACACACACACACACACACAGGAGGAGAGAGACAGAGAGAAAGAGAGATATCCACATAAAGAGGTTTTTCCCAGATAAAGTTTTGTTTTGTTTTTCATTTTTGCCTTTTTAGTTTATCATCAGATCACTCAGAGAGCACAGGTTGAAAGCTTTTTTTTAAGACACATACTAATATATTTTATTTTCTCTGTATATTTTATCTGTAAACTTCAAATTGAAAGCTTAAAAAAAATCTGTCTTCCTCACTTGAATTGGAATGCTTCTTGAAGAGCTTACAACATTTTTTTTCCTAATTTGCATGTTTTCTTATTGCTCTGACAGTAAGTGGGAGGTGAGCTGGAAAGAACTGAAAAATACATGCTTGGGTATGGGTGAGTCTAGGATTTCCATCAGCACTTCCATTTTCTACCATCTGAGATCAATTTCTTATAATGACATTGAATAAAAACCTGTTAATGCATCACTTATAAGCTCGATAGCTCCCTAGATTCTACCAAGTATATCTTCCATTGACTTTCATTTATCTTTTCCCCTATTAGGAAGTATGTTTAGCTGTATTAACTTGTTAAATGATACTTAAGAAACATTCTGAGTCAGTTTGTTCCACAGCTTGGCTATTGGGAATTGAGCTGCTATAAACTTTGATGTGGACACATCAAAATAGTATGTGATTTTAAGTCCTTTGGGCATATGCTTAGGAGTGGAATAACTGGGTCAAGTGGTGGTTCCATTCCAAGTTTTCTGAGGAATCTCCATACTACTTTCCAGAGTAGTTGCACCAATTTGCAGTCCCACCAGCAGTGAACCTTTTTCCATACATTGAATTGTGTTTTGTATGTATCAAAGTTCCTGGGTCCCTGGTTCTGAATG